TCTGTGGGCTGGTTCTCACTGATGCCTTTTTGTTGTTGCTCAATGCTTTTCTTGTGGTTGGATATGAGCTTTTATTTGGGGTTTTAATTTCTGCTGCTGTTTCACAAAGGGGAAGGATGTACATGAGGTGATGTACAGAAAGAGGGCTAAAACATCAAAAAGATCAAAGCCCACTCAAGAAATAGGATAAGTATTTAAGCTATAGAAAAAAACCCTTTCCAATCCCAATTATGCTAGGAAGTCAACCACTTGGTTTAACTCTCTTCAGATTGTTCTAGTACACCCTACCCCTTTTTCCCAACTTCTTACCCTTCCACTAAGACACAAGTTCACAAAGAGAACTTGGAGGACCCAATAGAAACTGCTATCTCAAATCATATCAAGAAGTATTGTCACAACAATTGAGCCACCTTGCAAATTTATGAGGTGACCTATGGATCCACCATCCTGAAGTACATAACACATCCATGAGGGAATATACAATGATACACTTTTCTTTTCCTTCGGAGATTATAGACAAAGCCACCATTTTCTTTTCCTTTGGAGGTTATAATATGTCTATCTCCTCCCACAAGCTGTCCTCCAAATGAAAAAGGATTTTTGGCTCTAGCAACCCTTGAACTTTGCGAAAAGGCCACTTTTGATCCTAAAGTTACAAAAAGGCCATTTTCATCCTCAATCTATTGAGAAAAGGCTATTTTAAGGCCAAAACAGATGGCCTTAGAGATGTCGTTGACAGTTCCGTTAGACAAATAATAAAATAACAAGACCTGCTGAAGTGGCACTACTCAAGTCAAAATAAATCTAAGAAATTACAGGTAGATCCTACTTAAAATTTCTACTTCTTCACATGTGACCAAGGGTAAAAACAAAATAATTATTTTTATTTAATAATTAATTAATTAAAGTATTAATTACAGGTGGGTTTCCCTTAAAATCTCCACTTGTTCACAGGTAGGACCAACTTGCTCAATGCTGAAATCCCTAGTCACAAGTTGATATCTGTACAACCCACGTGTGAAGGCCTACACTCATGCAGGGTCTCAAACAAAAAGCAAAATTCAAAAAACAACAAATGACTTTTTATCATTTCCAAAATCAAAACCCCTTGTTCGCCTCTCTCTCTCTCTCCCCCAGCACTACTGCAACTAGGCCTTCTCTCGACTGACACTGAATGGATAAACGAACCTAGTGATGGTTGGTGGTGATGGCTTAGGAGAGGCTTTGTCAGTGGGGCAGCTGAAGTGGGTGAGGATTTTGCAGATGGAGCGAGGGTTTGCAGTACCTAGGGCCACTAGCTCACCTTTTGCTTCTCATCCGTGTGGATTAGAGCTTGCACACATTAGATCAAGATGGCTTGATTAGATCATTTAGTTGAGTTTCAACATATCGAATGGTTCACCCATTGGCTAAGTAATAGCTGGATCAAAATTAGAGAAAGGAGCCCATTAAATTAAGACTGTTTATTTGCAGTGTAAATGCCAGACCAGTGTAACATTACACTCCAGTCCGGTTTTATGGCTGCTTGGATGGAATGTAAAACAAAAAGGAAGATTGGTGTAAAAGTCCCTTTTGAGAGAGTAGACTTTTACATCGACAATCAATGTGGAAAATACATCAAAAAACTCAATGTAAAACCTATTTGTTTCTCTACCAAATTACTCCCACTCATAATGCATCTCTTGTCCATCTCCTTCCTACTCCGTGGTGGTATCTCTTCACCGGCGCAACTGCTTCTCCTCCCGGCCATCTGAAGCCATATCTATAAGGTGACGGTCAGATGAAATACCGCTATAAGCATCTTGCATAATGATGGRACTCCAGGTTCTAGAGCAAGGCTTTGGTTCAAGAGGAGATTTGGAGGCCTTTTTGGGAGAGGGAACAAGGTTGTCTTCGAGGCCTTTTGCAGATTTTGAGTCGGGTGGTATTCCTCGAGCACACAGAGACTGTGGGATTATGATTGGCATTTCGGATTTGGGTTTCTTTTTAAGGTCATTTAAACCTTTTTCTTAGCTCTGCCATGAGAAAGCAATCCGGCCCAAAAAAATAAATAGAAGATAGATGATTAGACATAGAAATCTGAATGTTGTTGAGTAGTGGCACCGACGAAGAGAGAGAGAGGAGAGATCTCTCACGCTTGATTGCAAAAGAAAGTTGTTGAGCTCTAGAATGGAGTTTCAGAGAAGCCATCATCTTGTCATTATGTTTTATTATGTTTTCAAGCCTTCAACGCTCATACTCAATCAGAGTTTTAGACGCCATGGGAGCAAGCTCACGATCACACCCTAGAGGCACCAACGCAGAGAGAGAGAGAGAGAGAGATGGTAGATTTGTACTAGGTGGCCTATGAAAAGAGGGGTGGAGATTTACATTGATGGGTATTCTCCAAACAAGAGTAAAAGTGCGACATTACTTTTACGTCGATCATCCAAATGTGTATGCGTGTAAATGRGTGTAAAAGTTGGTTCCCTTTTTACACTAAAAAGATGACCATTGTTAAACTACTTGGTATAAATTTGTATTTACACCACTTCAAAACGCAGCCTAAATGTTTAGAAAACTGAATTGATAGGGGTGCAAGATGAGTATGTTGTGGGGTCGTAAATCGCCATGGTTTGCACTTCGGTTTCACCTAATTAATGATCCAAGATGGGTCATGTGGTGAAAATGATAAAGGAGGTAAGGGGAGTGGAGGGTTCACCCTCTCATGACTCATTTGACTCGGTATCAAATCGCCTTCGATGTCAATGTTGGACAATACAACTGACTCAGTGATGAGTGATTAGAAAGAAATATATGTTCTAGTGGTTGTGTTGTAACTAGAAGTGGTTCAATTGGAAGTTAAGTAGAGGAGAGATGATGCAGGAGCATGTGGGGGCCCACATGTAATCCTGCTAGCAGTTGGGTTCCTAGGGGGGCCAAGTTAGCTATTCAGCATTGCTTGCTTATTTTTTGAGTTATGTAACTTATATGGACTTTATAGTTGCTTGTTAGTGTACTAGTCTTTTATTTTTGAGTCATGTGATGGTCATATGAGTCACTTCAGTGGGGTATTTCCGCCAAATTGTGTGTTAAGGCATCACTTTTTCTAGGAGGCAACTATAGAAGCCTCATATCATGTGTGTAGAAGGGTTTTCTTTTTACTATTTTGAACCCTAAAGATTTGTTCTATCCACTGAAGTGGTGATTTTAGCCCTAAAAGTGGGGTGTTCTTCATTCCAGCTTCAACTATACCGTTTCACCTCAAAATTTTAACACTTCTTGTTGTTTCTACTGGGTTTATATTTTGCTGTATCAAGAGAGGAGTGGAAGAAGGATAAGAAGAAAAGGAGAATGAGAGAGAGAGACATGAACAAGTAGGTCGCACCTGTGAACAAGTGGAAATTTTAAGTGGGGCCCACCTGTAATTAATACTTTTATTAATTAACCATTAAATAAAAATAATTATTTTTGTTTTTATTCTTGGTCACGTGTGAACATGAAGGAATTTTAAGTGGGACCCACCTATAATTTCCCATATTTCTTTTGACTTGAGTGAATGCCTCCTCACAGCAAATTACATCATTAATAGGCTTCACCCATAGCATTTCTTCATCGAAAAACTCCTCTTGAGGTACTATCCAAAAACCCACCATCATACCACTCGTATGAGGGTAATTGGATGTTTATGTAATGCCCAAATTCGACCACAGCCACATGACTAATTTGCAACTTGAGCTGTCAAATGCATATTCGTTGGGTACCCTTACGGACAAAAAGGTTATAGGGTATTTGATTTAGCCACCAAGACTGTTTTCAATTCAAGGGATGTCGTCTTCTATGAGGATCAATTCCCATATCAGAATATTTCCCACATTACTCCAGCCCCGGTTGTACCCATTCCAGCATTAGATACCAATGCTGAACCCACAAATAATGCATCTATTGAAATAGAAACCATGCCCCAATCACTCCCTCACAGTTCAGCCCCTGTAAATCCACCTCCACCTTGACCACACCGCATTAGACAACAACTAGTTGCTCTCCAAGATTATGAATGCCAACAACCACCTTCTTTGGCCAACCCTCCCTCAGCCTATTAATGCCACATCAGCAGGCCTTATTATTTTTATTATTTGTCTAGAGAAACCATCAACAACGTCTAACATTTTCCATATTGGCCTTAAAATGACCGTTTCCCAATAGTTTGAGGGTGAAAATGGCATTTGTAAAACTTTAGGGTCAAAAGTGGCCTTTTTGCAAAGCTCAAGGCTCACTAGAGCCAAAAATCCAATGAAAAATGTGATTCTGGGAGGAACTGTAGAAAACCATATCTTCCTCTCCGGAAAAGGAGAGGGATGTTGCTGCTTATTTGAGCTTGGTACTTGGATCTTTTGTACAGCAGTCGGTGTATAGTTGCAGTATGTGCATCTGATTTTTTTGTTGCTGCTCCCTGCCTACTTGTTTTTCTTCTTTCCATGGCTTTTTCTGTATTCAACTTATATGGCTTTTTTTTTCTTTTAAAGAAAATTATATAATTTTTACTAGTCATACCAAAAGGCTTTCATATTGTCCATAGGTCCTACGTCACATGCAGTTCAGAGCACCACCAACCCCATGTTAATGATGCAAAAAGCAAGGGCCTCATAAACCTAAAACTATTAGGCATGTTCTGGCATGTTTGCAGAACCTCCAGGTTGTGCCTCTGCATCTTTGTGATGCCTTATCTCAAGGGGCACCTAGAGTTTCCTTCATTAAGCAACTTTTTTATATTAGTTCAGCTAGACAGAATGTTGGGCAGAAGTGGAGGAAAAGGTTTGAGTCACATTAAGGCCAGCATTTGCAGACTAAGCAATCAAATATAAATGATGCTTTTTTTAGAAAAAGGTAATTTTATATGCTACCATAAACTAGAATAAAAAAACACTTGAATAGTAATAATAACAACAACAACAACAATAGTAATAGTAATAGTGATTGTGATTGTGATTGTAATAATATCAATAATGATAACAACTTACCTAAATCCTCTGTGGAGGTTGACACATCTTTCTTAACAGAGGGGATCTTGCTGACAGCAATAGATTTTCCACTTGCAGTTGTTTTACGTAGCTTAGATTGCAATAGCTTTTTCTCTGGGCATTACAGGTAACAAAAGAAGCAAATAACAGTAAAATGAGAGATTGTCTATATATGCAGCATAATAACTAAACCTACTAACAAATTTTTAACCCATAGAGATCAATGCAGGGTTTTACAAAGATAAAGCTGTTGTCAACACATTTATCAAAGATGAAAATATTTACCCATTTTACAAGCTTTCCCGTGTTTCAAACAGTAAATAGTAATTTAGGAATCAATAAAAGTATCATTTCAATTAAGGAGAACGAAAATATTTTCCTAAATAAATGGAAATGCATGGCAATGTTAACTGACCAATCACTGTATGAATTCTTACCTTCTTGCAGAACATCAACCATGGACTGCAAATCTTGGCGCTCTTTCTCTAGACTAGACACTTTCTTTCTGTCATCAGAAACAAAAATTTGTGTCAACACTATTTAGCATTATGCAGTTTTTCAACTATCCCAGAAAGAAAATAATGATACACCATCAAAAATTAAAAAGAACTACAAGGAGGAGGAAAAGGAAAAGAAAAGGGGAAAATACAAAAGAAAGAATTGGGGAACTCATTTATCCAGCCTCCATACAGCATATCTCCATCAGAATATTGTTAGAGGTTAAACTATGAGCAGAACATTGCAGTAGGAATTTCATTATCAGAACCCATCCATTTGCACCGAAAACATTGCTTGCGAACTTCAAACATCAGTATTTCTTCTTGATAAATAATGGTTATTTTAATTACTTGTCCTCTTTTCCATGACCAAGTTTGGCTTTTATACTAGTAAGAAGAAATTCTGGAAAAGATTTTTTTAAAGAAAAGGAAAAAGACAGAAAAAGTGCCACAACTTCCAAAGAGATTGAACAAGCCAGCATGATACAACCTAAGACTGCATATGATGAGAGTTGTATCTAGTGCTTGGAGGTTAAACAATCAGATCAGGGAAGTAAGATCTTTGAGTTCCAACAGATACCCCCCCAATAACCTGTTCTGGGGAGTAAAAGAAGATGTACTTAACTGAATCCCCATCTCCCACAGGACCAAAATAGGCTACTTTTTAATTTGGATCAAAAATGGAAAATTTAATAGCAAATAAGAGAGAAGATTTATAACATACAAATCTTCACTTAAAGAAGGGTATCTAGAAATGCAATACAGGATGCAAAGAAGAATATATAGAAATACCATCCAAGGATGTGTGGACTCCAGTACAACTTCAAGCCTCCAACCACCAAAATCTCCCAAAACATGTTATCAGCTCAATAATCTGCTGATATTGAAATCCATCCAAACAATATGATCACTCAGGAAGCCAAAGCTCCTCCTGCCTTTCTGATAAGATGCTGTCAAGTCCAGGAACCTCTCATCACCATCATTGGACCAACTAAAATCAATCCACCTCTAGTATATATGAAACCTAATGATCATCTATATCAAGCTTAATGACTATAATACCCAGATGCCTGTTCATCATGCCTGGTCTACCAGTATCAGATAGTATGCACCCGATACATAAGACTTGAGAAATGACAGTTAGCTTCAAAAACTAGATATAAAAGCATGATATAAGCATACAACATGAAATGTCCATACTGGCATCCATGTTTGAGATTTTAGAAAATAATGAGGAATCCCAATTTACCATATAGGCCATTACCCAATGTTGGTCCCAGCCATCTGGGGTCTTCAGAGGGGTGGACTGAACATGGTCCTCATCTAATCATTGTTGTTTTTTTTTTTCTATTTATTTTTTGCACCAAGTGGTCGCTTTCAGACTTGAATCCACGTTCTCACACTTGAAAGACTGAGACTTTACCATTACACCAAGTAATGGCCTGCATCCCCATTTACCATGATAGTTTAATTAAATTTGGTAATAAAGTAAAACTTATTAAAAGAAAAAAGAAAGTACAAAAGAAAGTGAACAGAAGTCACTCAAGAGAGAAAAGAAAAACAAACTTCAACTCCCATACAAGATCTCCACACCAAAGACTTACCCCAACAGAATAATATCCACAGAAAAAAAAAATAAAAAAAAAAGATATTCCCATTTCCTGCATCTACTTCTGTATCAATATCCATATCCAGGTATCATAGTTTAATGGAGTCACTAGACTAGACCAAGTGGAGCAAAGACAATCCTGGCAGAGCACAACCAAAGAGTCATTCCCCAATACTGGTCCCAGCTGGAAGATGTGGATCACATACAAACCTTACCTTTGGCATTCTTTTTTTCACAAATTGGCTGCTCTAAGATATAAACCCACATTCTCAAGCTTGTCAGCCCAAGATTTATATTTTTAAACCAAACTAGAGCCCTCTACTAACAAATCAGGAACCACATGAAAAGCCTATAAAAGTCTCCACAACATGCAATCAGTGGATGATTCTGACACAAGCTAACTCTAGTACCTCTTTTTGGGGCTGATCATGAGAAGGTAGTTTTAGTCATTTCTTTTCACCCAAATGCACAGATAATTTCATCTAATATGCATCTAAGCATAGTCTTGCTACAAATCCTTAAGTAGTCATTCAAGAATTTTTGTTACATCTTGCAAATCTCACCTAAAACATAGGTTCCAGGAAATACTAAACTCATCCAGAGACAGAAAGGAGGAAATAGTCCATCAATGAAGGCACGAAATGGATTCATTATATAAAGCTTATTAGTAACATTTAATGCTATAGATATGCCACTCTCTCATGCACTCCTACCTATTAACTACCATTTCAATCTTTCTGCTAGTAAGTCATCTTTTCAATCTTCAAATTCCAGCATTCAAATCATTGTTCTAGACTTCAACTTTTTATCTTGTTTTGGATTTGTCCTATATAACCTTTTCTCAAACATTGACTTGTTCTCTTCTAATTGTCAATATTTGTTTTTAACCTATATCAGCAGATTATGGAAAATACATATCAGGTGACCATCTTCCATTTAACAGCAGGCCTCAAGAGGGTGACAAGTTCCAAAGAATTCTCTCATGTTTGCTAAAACCTTTAGTTGACCATTCTGCTATCAGCATGGAAAGAATGTATGGGTCACCAATTGGCAATTGAATAACTGTAAATAATGGACCCAGATGTCAATGGTCAACCTGCCATTACTGGAAAGGTGCTGCCACTGCTGCTGCAGTGATTTAGAGCATTAACCACAAAAGCAGAAGGTTGACACTAGACAATCTCTTGGAGAGAACTAGAGAAGATGATCAATAGTCAGGATCCTATCCAGAATAGCAGTACACATAAAGAGACTTGTGATGGAATATGTGCCTTCCAAATCCATTTCCAAAGTAAAGAGTTCTAGGCAGGCACCATTAAAGCATGAAGTTAACTGTTAACCAAAAGTAACAGGTAAACAGATAAATAGAAACAATTATGCTTTTAAGGGAAGCCAAGAACTCCTAAAGTTTCAGACCACCAGAATTATAACAATATTTGAATCCCCATGAGATATCAAAGATGAACACAAACATGCTATACTAGATTTTACATACTGAAAAAACATACTATATAAAGGAAGAAATGATAGGTTGAGCTACAAGCATACAATAATCATAAATAACTTTCAAGTTACTATTTGCTTAGGAGGAAAAAAATATAGCTCAGATATTGCAACAGTATTTCCCCATGCACTTCAAAACTATGATTCTGTTCTGACTGTAGAAGCAATAGATCAAAGTGAACAAAAAGTCATATAGAAGCAACAAGCATAAAACGACAAGAAACATAGATAATACTTGTATGAAGTGATCTCAGCATTTGAATTCTCCAATTGCCTCTCCAACTTTAACTCATTTGACCTCAACCTCAGTGCCTATGTAAACAAAATACATGGTAAGGTTAAAAAAGGAAATAACCAACAACCACATCAAATTTAAATATGTAATAGCATCCTGCTATGAGAGAATGAAGCTAATAATGGATAAGAAAAACTCAGAAAATAACTAAAAATGCAATAATTAACAGCAATCAAGCAATCAACAAAATTTACAAAACAATAACAAATTAAGAAATTTAATTTAACATATTCTTTTGTAAGCTTTTCATGCCACGGGGAGTTCCAAAAGGATCCAACATGGTCCACAAAGCGCATCATGTATTTCTTGATTCAGCCCTATAAAGCTTCCAGACTAGAGATGCTGAATTAGGAGATGCCCAAGTATCATATCCCTAATGAAAAGCATCAACAAATGGCACCACATTCCTGGATTGGGGGGATGCAAATGGAAACTTCCCTTCATGTCAAGAAGATACACTCCTCCAACTCCAACACGCCAAAGCAGGGGATTAATAGAGAACAAGCTTTTTGGGCTTGGGTCCAATGAAAGACTCCTTCATGGCTGCTTGGAGGAAGAGAGAAAAAGAGTTTTTTTTGTTTGAAGAATGTAAAGGAGGAGAAGTTCTAATGTTTGAAGAGAAAGGAAGATCCACGGTTTTCTAGTCTTAAGATGTGGTATGCTGGATTAAAGGATTTGTTGATGGGGCAACCCATGCGGTGATAAGACCAAGCTGGAGGAGTGTTTGGAGAAGTGATGGGATTTTCTTTTCAATTGAGAAGAAGTTAATAGTAAAGGATGTTTCTTGAAGCTGGATGAAGCACTGGGAGATGGTAGGAGACAGATTATTTGTTTGCCAGAAGGGAGGAATTGTCAGGGTTGGGCCGTTGTTGCTGAGGTGTTGCAAGAGTTTGAAGAAAGGTGTTGGTTGAAAAAAGAAATTTTGATGAGTTTCGGGGGTTAAGAGGATGTTTCAGGGACTGGAGGGTCAAAAGGATAGTCATGAGGTGATATTAGTAGTAGTATGTACTCCCGGGCTCATGTTGGGAGGATGCAAGGAGGATCTTTAATGATGTTATGATTAGAATTCCAACTTTGGAATCGGTTGTGCTGCTCATCCCTTTTTTTTTGAAGAATGAAAGGAAAACTTTCATTAAAAGAAAAAGAAGCGAGTATAGCAGGGGTGATAATATATCACCAGAAACAAGGAAGCAACCCCGAGGGACCCAAAAGGCCTAAAGGCACCCCACCACACACCCAAAACAATCCAACCAAAACCAAGAGAAAGATCAACAAAAGGCCCAAAAAAGATCAAGCAGACAAAGACCACCAAACCAGAACTAGACTAAAATTGCAGGCCCATCCAAGCATACTTCAATCTTCATCTGTAAACTCATCCTCTTGATTCATAAAATCCTCGTCCCAAACCTTGTTCACCTGAAAATAGGCTTTTTTATTCTCTTTCTCCTCCTTTTTACTTCTTCTCAAAGGCTTTCCTAGCAAATTCCTCACCACCCCAAAATACCAGGTCCAAGCTTTTCCCAACCATAACCTCTCTATCTACTAATTTCTGGATATCCACACATCTCGGGTTTTCTTCATCCCCGTCAGTCTCCTGCATCAACTGGATTTCCACTAGAGTCAGAAATGACATCACTCATCTGTTTTTCCTGCTGTTCCTTCAAAGTAGGACTGTGGCTGAAGTTGCACCGCCACCCCCCTCTGACTGGAATCAGAAGTCCCAATACCTCTTACTCTCTTCCTTCTGTATACCCATTTGTAGGTCCTGTGCTGGATTTAGGGAAAGGTTCAAGAAGAGTTCATGAATGTTGAAACATTGGAAAGCACAGTTACTGTGGCAAACTGAAACCTTCCTGCAATGAAATTTCAATCCCTGAAGGAAGCGTGATCTTGAAGGTTTTGGGACTTCCGTTCGACTTGTGGCTGGACCACGTCTTTGACAAGATAGCAGCAGCATGCAGAGGAGTTCTGGAAGATGTTCGTACTGCTGATCTTCATGCATCAAAGATTAATATTGCTGGTGCTAAACCGGATAGGATTCCTCGTTTGATTGATCTCTTTGCTGAAGAAAGATGGTGGAAGCTTTGGGTGGCATCAGAAGCTTAAGTGTTTCTGTGGTCTAGGGGGAGAGAGGTTGAAGTTGATACTGATTGGGTATGGTGGAACCCACATGACACAAACAGGGTGGAGGGAGCAGGGAAAAAGGAAGAAGTTGAAGAGGTTGGTGTTAAAAGTTTGATGCTGAATAATTTGTATGTAAAATCTTCGAAAAAAGGTGGTGATGGTGCTGATCTCGAGTCGCTTGATGGATACAAAATTTTTGAGTCACGTAGTTCGACTTTGAGGCAAGTGACAACAGAAGGTGGTGAGTGCACTATTGATAGATCAAGTGGTTCAGTGTGAAAATGTGTCAATAGAAGAGGTTATAAAAGAGGCGATTTGTGATGCCAAAAGGTTTCATCTGGAGAACGGCAAACTTTTTCATTAAAAATAAGGACAATTCAATAACCTTAGAGAAGGTTGACATGGGTGAAAAGAAGTGTGTAGAAGAGAAGGGAAACATTCAGGAGAATTTTGAAATTAATTATCTTCAACAGAAGAAAAAAAGGAAGGGAAAGACATTTTGGACACCACTGCTGGTAAGGGATTAGTTTTGGAAAGGATTGAGGGAGAGCAAAGAGTGTTGGCGGAAGAAGAGAATGGTGGAGAGACTATTCTGATGTTGCCAGAAGTAATGAAAGTAGAATCGCAGAAGAGGGGGAGAGTAGACAGGGAGATGAGATGGATGGGATTGAAGGGGCAAAGAAAACGAGAGATGTGGAAGAGCTGTTGTGGAACCAAGGAGGAGAAGGAGATTTAAGTTTAGAAGAGGAGAAAGGAGGGAAGAAAGAATTAGGGAGTGGGGGATAAGGAAGCAAGGGTGAAGGAGGTAAGTTTG